TTTTGGGATGTTTTTTCAGGTGAAACTTGGGAAATGGAAGGAAATGATTTATCACATCAACGGTAATTTTCGTTTTAAATGAAAACGGTCATTATAAATTCCGTATGATATTTTCCGGAGACACATAAAATCTTTTCTTCTGCTTCTGTTCCTTTTCAAAGGAGAAATATTTTCGAGATTGTGTTACGATATTCCCTTCGTCTTAAAATGGCTGACCTGTGTTGGAAAAAATGTAAAACTATCTGCACATAACTCATCGAAGTATTCTAGTCCTGTGGTTTGGTAGCGTGTGAATCACTCTACATTTTCTTTCCTCCTTTCCGTTTTCTTCGAAAGACTAATTCGGGCACCGACACATTTATTCTCGTGAGCTTTTCCTAATGTTCAGACGTGTCAAGGACTTTTTCGCTGCATCCGAACAACAAAAAGTTCTCTCGAAGAGGATTTGAGTTGTAAGTTTACTGCCTTGTCCAATGTACTGAGGACAGAAACCACTAACACGAGTACTACGCGATCGTTCTGGAACCTCATAATTCGTTGTCGAGTGCTCGTATGCGTAGATAATGTATTCCCTTATTGTATCATGATGCCGTCAACGAAATAGTCTTCGCGAAGGCTGAATAAATAAGGCTAAACTACTCGACGGCGGTAAGGAAAACGGATTGATGGTATCAGTCTTTTGCTTTAAGTAACAAACCAATCCCCGCCGGCGATTGAAGTGTGGAGGCAAATTGAGACTGATGCATATGAGTTCGGTGTATTGCAATTCCGTCCTATTGTCATTGATTAATTTTCGGCGAACTACTCTGGAGTAATGAACAGCTCTGATGCTTTTCTTCTCTGGCAGCGAATGCAGAAATGCCATTAGCTGGATCCCGGCCTGGTTTCTGTCTGCTTTCGAGCATTCTGGGTCGTCCGCAGTTGTCTTATTTCCCCAGTGGTTTTGCGAAACGTTATAATTTTGCTCTGGACTCGCATTGTCTGCTTACGTCCCTAGGAAATGGATTTTTCCTTTTTCATTCTGACGTTTTGGTTAATATTGCAGCATATTTAATCAGTAAAACCGTCCGATTTGCTTTCGCACTCTCGTCCAGCTTCAGAAGAACCTCGCTTAGCATGAATTTGAAGTGGAATCGAGATGAAGGTAGAGTTTATGACAATTTTCTTCGTGCAACGAATTTCCCCCTATATTCCTGCTGGGAGACTTTCCGTTAATTCATGAACAGCTTGCAGGGTAATTTATAAATGGCGAATTACGATGCTTTTCAGTCCGCTGAATTAAGAGAGCCCATCTGTAAATGCTGTATTGAACGATAATTTTAAAATGCGTCCTAATCGAAGGATCATTCGGACTTTACTACAGATATTTGAAACCAATGCACCAATGTTTTTTTTTAGTGTTTCTTCTGGTTTTTATCGATGGCTGGCTGCTCTTATGGGTTGTTTTTTTCCTTTTGATTAACATTGTATAATCACGTGAAATTTACGTTTACTGAATATCGTCCGTTTAATTTCATAAAATCCTGTATCCTGACATTTGTATGTCATTCGCATATATCTGTACATATTTAAAAGGTGTAGAAACGCGTAGAACAGCGTCTCTGTTTCCTGTTGGCCATAAATGCATGAAAAATCACAGCGAACATTTTCGCGAGTCTCTTCGTTCAAGAACTCATTTTTATCGATGCTATGATTTTAGATTTCAGCGCATGAAAATCCCGTGGTAGTACATGTGAGAAAAGCGTGATCGGTGTTCCTGATGAAAGTGTTTCCTATACAGAATCTGTCAGCAGGGTGCGAATGAGGACCGATGCTGACGTTCCGCACGACTGATGTTGCAATTTGCCTACCAGAAAATGTGCCGCGTCACATACACGACTGTTCACGCAGTGATGCAATTTTCAGTTCCACGAGGGGGGTTCGTAATTGAAAGTTGTCTGAAATTCCTCGTGAGGTTGGGGGGGGGGGGGGGTCCTCCCTTTGGTTTTACGCGGCCCCTGTGATTTCTACGTCTCCGTGCATGATGAAGCGCATGCATTCCCTGCAGAACCTGGCCTCGGGAGAAAACGACAGTTTTTTCGCGACAGGAAATGTATCTCCTTTGTAGCTTAAGTCGTATGGTTGCAGAAATGGTGGGAAGAGGGATGATCCATCACAGGCTTTGCCACTTTCATACCTACGTTTTCTTTTCCCCCCGTGGCGGACCAGGGATGCTGCTTTTTTGGGTCGATGACTAATCCGTTGTCCATCGCTAGATTGCATGCGGTCTTGCATAAAATGTGGGTTATCCGGGTTAATCCGGCTCGTGGTTGTGTGAGCATACGGGGGAATGAATGTTTACTGTCCACGATGGGGGAGAGTAAGCTAGTTTTCTAATTTCCGGGGTAATTCCGCCATTCGCTTTTACCTAGATGTCCTAGATAATAATCCATGCGAGGATTTTTGTGCATGTACAGTACGTATTTGCGTCGGACGTTGTTTTCGCACGAACTCAGAAAGACTCTGAATTGTTTCAAAATGATCGCGTACAAATTGCACGTTCACTCAGGGATCATTATTATTCAAAATTGAAAATGTTTAGCACATTTTTGATCACAAGGGCATTGAAATTCGTATCCGATTAAATGTGAGAACTTTTACATTATGGCGGGCAGTATCGTGTAGCATTTTTTCCGAAGTCATCCAGGTTTCAGCACCTGGTTGAAATTGTTTTCGGAATAAAAACACTACGCTATGAAAGTGTCTCACGTTATTCTCATGAAATATGTTGTCGATTGCGACCCAGGGTAACTGAAATTAACCGAGATCCGTAATTTTACGTTCAATATTTTAAGTACTGTATATTCATTGCCGCGGAATCTTTTTGCACTGGTTTTTTTTTTTTCAAAGCATGCTCATTTCAACGATTTTTTTTAGTTGAATTTTCTAACATTGTTTTATACCATAAATTTTGCAGAAGTACGATTTCTTGTCAGGTTTAAAAGAATCGACGCCGAACAGCATTCCGCGGGGTGAAGTTCAATTCAGTTGCCTTCATCTCTAAATCGTCAAGGATTCCTGAAATTAATGTTGAAAATCGTGAATTTGAGACGTGTCCCTCACGTCAATCCTGACTTGGACGATGGATTAAAAATCTTCTTAATTGAATCTGAAGTTACGTTTCCCCAATTTGGAAATTCAGTTTCGTTTGAAATTTTCAGGGGAAGTTTACGGTGCTCTTGGCAATTTAATGCGTGTCGAAAATAGCTTGTTGGGGTCAACTTGAAAGAGATTGATGCTAGACTGAAATCAGCGTCGTGAGATTTGTCTCTCGTTTCAAGCGCGATTTTTCTCCTAGATGTTCGAATTCCTGAATAAATCATGGGTTTCTTCGGAATCAAGGCTTTAAAAATGCAGTTTTGATTTTCCCGCGGAAATTTAAATCTGAGCGATGCCTTTATGTGCAGTTTTGTTTGATGTTCTGACGATGTTTGCTGATGCCTTATTCACGCGCGTGTAGCAGCATATTTTCAATGGGTGCAATATTTTCTGCTGGCGCTGGAAGTGCGCCTGGAGACTAAATGTCAAAGTATTCCTCACATTTTATTTTTTATTTGTTATACGCGGAGAAGATAATAAGTTTTAAGGTGTTACGTCAGTGAAATGAAACTCACAATAGTTGCTGGTAAACATGTAACTGAAGCAGTGTACAGCAAACATTTTTGGTCATAATGTAGTAGAAGAACATTGTTTTGCGCGGAGTTCGCATGTGTGAAACTACATTGCGTCGGATTCAAGCCTAAAGGGGGGAAGTGTGGGCCTTCACGCGCGTAAATGCGCTAATCTCTCGCGGAATCGTGCGAGGAAGGTACATTGAAATACCTTTTCCTTCATTTCCATACTAAAAAAAGGGGAAAGTCCGCTTTAGGAACAACGGCTTTGGCTTCGGCCCGCTCAGAATAGTCTGGGCTTAGCGAGGCTTAGTGAACAGGCACAAAGAGTTGGACCGGTGCAACTAGAGCTCCTTAGCCACGCGGCTGGAGGAGGCGGATCGGCTGTACCAACAAGCCATCGCCATGCGACAGGACTACACCCAGGCCTACATCAACCGCGGAGACATCTTGATCAAGATGAATCGGTGAGTGAGCCCGACTTCTACCCCCCCCCAACCCCCTCTTTTGTTTGCACACGGCTTGGCTGAAGGATTTTCCCGCTTTGCTTGTTCTCTGGGCTTCCTCGCGTGGGGGTCTCTGTGTCAGCCCGTATAGATCAGCTTTGTGATACTTTCGGATAAGTCTTATTTCCATCCGTTATTCCGAATCTTACCGTTTCTCCGAGAGAGCTTCGAAACTATTGCTTTGATCTATCGAAGCAGCTAGGGAATTGGAAGAAATGTGAATTATTCTCGAGGAAAGGGATTTGTTTTCATTTTTTTGATGTTTTTGAAAATAGGCTTGTTTGGTATGCTTTTCTCTATGGGTCTATGATCATCTTGATCACTATTTCAGCCGATTTTGGTTTTGTTCTTTCGTGGAGGAAATCGCATGGATTCGGTCTGAATCATGGTCCATATGCACTACTACATAACTTAACGCGAAACAATTACCATCAGTCAGGTTAAGGAAAAGCACCGCTTTTAAGCAATGGAGAGCTCTTTCGAGATTTTTTTTTTTTACCAGTTTTGAGATTGTAGTTGCCGGTAACAGCTCTGTGGAATTTCTTTATTGTATGGGTTAGTTCATGGGATTTGTCAGCCTTGTGCTGAAATTGTTGGATTCTTTGATGGAGATTGTCGTATTTTTTATACTGTGTTGTAATATTTGATCACTTTCTGGCCCCTGTTCCGATTTTTGCTCATCCGGGCTGAAATATTGGCATTGGTCTTGCATCAGTTTTGAGGATTCTGACGCATAAATTTGGGGAACCCGAAAAACTTTTTTGAAGGTGCGTGGGGTACAAAAACCCGCAAATCCTTCCGTCTTTTTGTTGTTGAAGATTTGAGTCAGACATATTTATTTAAACGCGCTGGTGGAAGAGGAACGATGTCTTCGAAGTGATGGAAGTACGGTAATCAGTTCGTACATCGCTTGCTTGAGTTGAATTCTTTCCGGCTATCATTTTATTATACCCACCTTCTCCACAATTTTTCGAAAGCCCGTAGTTTTTGTTGTCTCCAACCTTCAATTTCCGGAGTTATACAAATAGGATGGATCATTCTTGTAGTCGAGCCCGAAATGAGAATTTCTTCAATGGTAAGAAGCTTGCCCGCACGCTGGTATATGAGAGAACACGCTCTCCTGCAATAGAACCCTAGACAAGATCGCGTGAACCATGGTTTTCTCCGTGGGGTTCGGGCTGGATTTCGTTTTTCCCGCTGTGTTCTTGTTTCGAACAATAGCATGAGGTGCGGAAGGAAAGGCAGCAAATTCTGTAGCTTGAAGATTACAGAGGAAAGCTTTTGTTCGTATTTTTCTTCAGGCTCTTTCACGTCTTCTGCTCTTCTCGCTCTCTTCTGGAAACCGTCTCTTGTGTGTGTTCTACGACGTTATTCTCCGACGTTGCGGGGAACCAGCTGTTGTGGAATTCCGAGCCTTATTCCAGCTAAACCGCCCTGATTTCGCTTGAAAAACATTGTTTCGTGACGCCTTTTTTCAGGACTTCGAGGCAGGAATAAACCATCTACTGTATCGGGATTGAGGTTTTCATGCGCCCCATCTATTCAGTTCTGGTTTGTTCTTTTTAGAAGATAATTGTTCCGGGACACCCTTATTCTATGATAAAAGATAAGCATGGGCTTTCTTACTCAGAAAGGACGCTTTCGAAAATTTTATCTCACCGAAGAATTTTCGCTGTTATGAGAATCATTCGGGTTTTTGAACAATATTACAGTATTTTTATTCAAGTTCCTCCCGCGTGAAATAGAGTAATCGGTGAAACTTGCATTTTATTTCGTTTTTCGCGTGGACTTGAAATCTTTCCCAGCACAGATTTTGAATTTTTTTATAACCGGTCAGAATGATCATGTCGAGGAAGCTCGAGAACAAAGCTCGTTCGCCCAGATGATCGTGTTAAATCAGCTCGATATGGAGACACCGTTGACCGTTCTTGCACGGTTATTTCTTCCCCGGTACGTACGCCTTAATAAAATAAAAACCGCCTGACGAGAGTCCTACACCCGTCCCCGCTAAAGGTGGGACCCGTACCACTACTCCATTGTCGCGAAAATAATCGCGGATCGTCGACGCGAAAAAATGGAGAGTGGGGGGAAACGGTCAAGGAAAATACGACGGGTCTTTTTTCTCTTCGCTGCCCGAGGGTTAGTGTCCAAGTTTCCGCCAACTTGCAGCAAGAGCTACCTTTAAAATTGTCTGGGTGAATTTTGATAGAAGATCATTAAACGATAAAATCACAGTACTGAAATTGTAAGGAATGAAATGCACTAATGCAGTACTGTACTTGATCAATTCAAGAGAAAAATGTTTTGTCCGATTCATTTTCGAAGTGTCACACCAAAACGCTGGAAAGCCACTTCTGAACTATTCTTTGCGTGGATAATTTTTTTTTTAAAGAAAACTTTGTGATGAATGTAGTAATTTATTCTCGACAATTTTCTTCGATGAATGTTCTTCATTATTGTCAGACCAAAACGCTGGACTGCCACTTTTGAAATAGTCTTCACGGGGATTATGTTTTATGTTTTGTACAAAACTGTGCGGAAAATTAAGTAATGTATTCTCGACAATGTTCTTCGATGCGTTTTTTTCTTCTCTATTATTATTGCAGACGCACCGAAAAAATCTTGAATACTGCCCCTCGCATTCCTGCCGTTTCTGTTGCCTTTTTTCCGTCCGTGTCTTAAAAGAGCGCACTAGGAGCAGCAAGCAGCGCCGACAACAACTACATCGACCTTCTCTTAACGGCCGACGCTGCTCACCCGACACACAGAGGCTGCCCCTGACACAAGCCCTACTGTCGCTCGACGATGAGGCGGGAGTTCTTGAGTGCAAACATTCGGCGTGCTTTTCGAGAATGGGGTTTTAGTGTCGTCTTTCGCGGTGGAATCCGAGTGCCTTCTTCCGGGCTTTTGATATACATGTTCATTCCGATAACGCATGATTTTCAGCGAAGGTTTCATGTCTGATCCATCACGTCAGGTGATTTTATTCTTTTTTTTCTGTTGTAGCTTGGTTCAAGTATTTTCGCTGATGATAAGGCGTTAAGAAATCCGTTTAATCAAGCTGAAAATATCTTTCATCGAAATGGGGGTGGAAGGGGGGGGGTGTATTACGCTAACACCGCAAAATTTGGAAAAATTAACATGAGAAAATTAATTTTCCCTTTAAATCACTGATTATTGAAGGCTCTCGGCTACTGCACTGTATAATTTACATTTTACACGGATGAGCCCAGCAAGAACCTAAAAAGCATACTTACTTTAAGAAATATAATGTAGTAAGCAATAATGAATTGCTTACTAGGATGAGGTCTTTCATAAGACTTGCGAGACGTTTTCTCCTTTAGCTATAAATGTGAACAAAATCTCCTCGAGCGCATGGCTTTGGAAAGACACACAGAAAGTGACGAATCTTTCGAATTATTTTTGATTGAAGCTGACCGTCAGAGCTATCGCGAATTGCCTTCACTTCATGAAGAAATAAATTAATAAATGAGAAAAATTCAAAAGTTGATTCCTTGCGCTTAAAGATTGATTGATCTTTTTTTTCAGATAATTTTTTCAAACCGAAGATGTATAGAAGTTACGACAATTTAATGAAAAAATGAGGTGCAGTACTTCCGTAATTGTTTGAGTGTTTTTTTTCTCGTTGAATAATCATCCCATGAAGTATTATTCTGCGTTTTAAAGTGAGGCAAGCTAATTTATTTTAGTCAAAAGTCGAAGGAGGGTGCGTTTTATTTTCAAATGAATGAGTTATTTATGTAGGCTGTTCTAAATTTCCCTCTTCTCCTGCTTTTCCATGAGCAGAAGTAGCATGTGTGCCTCCCGGGTTCGCACACAGTGAAGGGAATCCTTGCGAATTTAAAGTTCCCCGAGAAAGTTGTCGATGGCGAAGGGGGGTGGGGGAAGGTTCGTCTTTTAAAGCACATGACGTGACGTCGTTTGAGATTCTTTGTCCACGGGTTCGCGATTCTTTGGACTTTGTGCTTTGTATCTCGAGGTCCAGGTATAGTCCATCGGCCAATGGACATTTCCGAGAGTGCTTCTTGATTAAATTGCATTTTCGCTTTGTGCTGTTTGTTTTCAGGTACAGTATTCTGAACAGCAGCAATTCGCGTTCCAAATTGGGATCCGCGCGGAATTTCCTCGTTGCGATTTTTTCCGGTGCATGAAATTTGTTTTTTCCAATGCGCGAATGGAAATAATTATTTTTTTACATTTTGTCGAATGCATGTTCGCATTGTTCCATGAAAGGCAGGCTGGAGCCCGCAGAATTCTTCCAGTATCGTGTGAAGCTTCTTATCGTTATTGTGGGCATTATGAGACCGTAAATCGTCCCAGCTTTTTGCGCGTTGTCCTCGGCGTGCTGACATTAGCATAGTTCCACTTTCTTGGCGAGGAAAAAGCACGCTCAGATGCTTGTGGAAGCAATGAGCAATTTTTTTTGTTTCGCAGATCGAATTACATCAAAATAAACCAGTCGCAGTCGTACACATTTCATCCATCATTGGAGGCTATGCTGTTGAAAGCCTTGCTCAAGTGAACCTATCTTTCTGAATGATCTACTGAAGACAGAATATTAACTTATAAATCAACGAAGTCAACAATCATGAAGATGTATATTCCCGAAACTAGCAATAATTAACTTCTGTATAAATGTAAAGTTGCCCTGAGGACAACATTCTGAAGCAGTAGAAGCTAGGTAATGAACATGATTTCAAAATTATCCGAAATTGCGCTCGCAGTCACTCGTTTTATTTCAAAAATACATACCATATTCGTATCTGAACATGACTTACGTATTACCTCAAGCGTGATCGTTAATTTTTTTTTAAGCGGAAGAATTTCGAAGACTTCGGGGTTTGTGCAACCCAAAAATGCACCTTGCGAGGTTTTCTCGGGCTTCTTGGTTATTGGTGAATGCGCTCAGGAGATTTGATCAAACTTTTTTCAAGTAGGTCATAAGTACTTATCAAGTATTAAGAATCGTCTCAATGTAGAGGTATGGCTCAATCGTTTATTTCCAAGGAAACGCGATTGTATCGCTTCTGAGTAGTGTTTTGGAGATCTAGACAGGATTTGTATTGTGTTTAGTGTAAATTTTCAACGATTTCAGACTCTCCTCGCTTTTTAGAACTGTATCTTGCATTGTTCAAAAGTAGAACTGGACGAAGTGTGTGGGAGAATGGTCAGCGACAACTCTTCACGAGAACTAGCCAAGGATAGACTCTTACTTGGGGTAGCTATTCCGTCTGGTATTATTATTATTTTTATTAGGAGCGAAAAACGGCATATCTAAAGGCAAAGAACCTGGGTTCCGGGCATCGCTGTATTAGGACTGGAGAACCCCGGAGAAGAATCGCATTGTTTCGAGCGGTTCATGGGAGCGTAGATTAATGAGGAAAGAAAAGCTCCGGAGCCTGATGGAGAATGGATCGTTGTCGAGAGCGTTTCATCCCTCGGATGATGAGTCTTACTGAATTGTGAACGGGGGATGAGCCTTTTGTTGCGTTTCCGTTAACAGCCCGCCGTTGCGGGGGGGGACACGTTGATCGTGGAGTCCATCACGTGGAGGCATTACTGTAACTTTCCCACCCAATCTGAGGCCCCCCTTTTTTCCATTTTTTTATTCTCTCTTCTTTTTTTTTTACCAGGGGTCTAGGGAATATTCATTCTTTTGCGACGAGAAGATAACCCTTCTTACCGAAGTTTCATCGTTTTGCTCTTCAAATCCTCGGTTGGATTAAGTGAGTCGTGAGCGGTGTATTTTTCTTATTCAGCCGTGACGGCTTCAGGAGGAGATGCTGTTGCTTCGATTACCGTATCCACGCTGTACTACGAATGTATTGTGTGCAAATGTAGGCCTGAACTCATTTTTCGGCTGCCATTTCTGCGGATCAAATGTAGGCCTGAACTCATTTTCGGCTTCCATTTCTGCGTGAAATTTTTTTAATTAGCCGCACACGTACGATATTTGAAATTTTTTAGAAGAAAATCGTGGGAATTTATTCTGCATGAATAAAAACAAGCATTGCATCTGTCGTGTAGAAATTTTTCGCTAGAAGGTTCTGACGCTGGGAAATATTCATTTCGCTGGAATACAAGTTGGCAGCTGTAAACGCCTGATTTTTTTGCCTAGCTTCTTTCTGTTTTCTTTTCTCTTGAAATGCAAACTAAAGCAAATCCGTGTGACATGCTCTCAAGTATAGACTGCCGTCAGTATTTTGAGCATTTAAATTTTTATTTGGGAGTTACTAATTGATTGAGTATGCGTACGCATTTAGCTTTCCAAATCCTTATCCATTTCCTGCGTTTACGAAATTCCGATTAATTTAATATTTGATTACAGTAAATTATGGGTGGATCCATCTCGCTGAAATAATTTTCGGGGCTTGGAAATAATGAGCATTCAAAAAATATTCTAAACGAGTTACTTGAGCACTGACTATCGGGGCCATGGGCAATCTGTATACTGTAATGGAGAAAATCATGCTCGACGAAATCGTAGCAGAGAATTATTCTGTTTGTCATCCATTGTACAGTAATTTATTCTAATTTTTCGAGCCAGATGGTTTTCTGTGATGAAACATTTTGAATTACTGAGTTAAAAGTGTTTTCGAATGCATTTTGGCCTCGCGTAATTTCATCTTCACGGTCGATCTCTGTCGGATATTCGCAGTTTTTTCTTTTGTCTTGAAATTCAAATATTTATATGTTTAGCTTATGAAAAATGGAAAGCAAAGTTTCGCTTCGAGCTTCACTGTATTGTTCCGTAATTGAAATTTAATCGGGACATCAGACTAGGTTTTCCCTCTCCTAACTCGGCGTGGAGAATCACGGAAAACTTCTCAATTTCAAAGTCGGTTTACTCGAAGTACTGTATATTAAAAGATGTGAAATTCAGAATGACAGATTGACTACAATGTCCGCAATTCGTCGACGAGTTTTACCGTATGTGATGAAATATGAGCGCATGAGCGATGAATGGAAGTTGGTGTTCAACCGACTGTGTTCCCATTGTTGCGTGTTTCTGTACTCTTGGCTCGGAAAGGTGGCTTATGAATAATGCTTGAGAAAAATACCACTGAAAAGCTCCGAATACCTTTCGAGCCTTTTGAACGAATTCGTAGCCGTCGGGAGAAATTGTGGGAACGATACAAAAGGAATAGGGACTCTTGGAGTCTGGACATTTCCTGCTGCTGGTCGTGGTAGTATATGTGCGATATACCCGAAAAGTCTTTCGTCGTTTCCACGCGTGAAATGCGTCGGACATGAAAAGATCCCTCTGGTGCTGATGCCTGAGTTTCCTGATGCACAAACCGCTTTCTTTGGCCTCGTGTCCTCGTCGAGAACTCTGATCGAATTGCAGTATTCTTTCCTCTGCTAGTTGCACTTCGTCTTCTTCTTTTTTTTTAAACGCTCTGTGATTAATGGGGCAAACTTCCGTCATTCTCGCGCTTTGCTGCTTGATGGACGCTGTCGGAGCTCTACAGGGGGTTGTGCTCCTACATAGAACGAAATTTTCGTTGCGGCCTTCCTTTTCTACCCGTGCGTCTCATTAATGTGATTTACAGCGTTTCTTGCGTTTGAATGCCTGCACATCTCGACGTAAGTTGAGAGAAAGTTTTTGTCATGCTTTTACGATTTCCTTGACGGTCATTTGTCCGATCCCTGCGTTCTGA